GCTTCTCCTCTCCAGATTTGGACATAGACTCCTGCTGCTCCGCGTTCATCTCCATCCCATCGGTCTATCCCAAAGACCACTACCCCTCAGCGACATACTTCACAGTGTACTTACTAACGCCTTGTTCCGACTCTCTACAGCGGCGATAATTCTGCGTATGTTCATATAACCAATACTGAAAGGCCACTATGAGCTCACGAATTCCAAAGCAGGAGCAGTACGCATTGAAACTAATGTCTAGATAGCGCAAAGTCTTCGGCCCTTCCTCGACTATACGCAGGACTGACTCCTGACCATTTTCATATCTAACGATAACTCGTACAAGACGCTATCTAACATAAGCATCATCACCCTAGGTAGTTGTGGGAGAGTATGAGGTCCTTTAAGACTTTCAACTGCACTACTCCCTCGGCAAGCTGCCTGGCCCCGTGGCCATCAATGCCTATCAGTCAGCGATCACGCACATCGAAGAATATCTTTATCGGTACCTAGCCTCTGAAGATCGAGTTTCTTCAGGGAGTTGGCAAGACTAGGACATGGAATCTGTAGGGCACGGCCAATCCAATTGCCTTCTCCCCTCCACCCACGACTAAGAGAAAACTCACTACTTAAAATCAGATCGATGAGTAGCCCACTCACCTAAGATGAGTACCAATATAAAGGCCTTGGACGAAAGGCGCCTCGCCGACCGTCTGCAGGACTGGCATCAGGCTGGAGTCCAGCGGGGATCTCAAGCTCATCACCACTTGGGGCCAACGTGTCACCAAGGTCGTCACAAAAGCAGGATCAACCTTAGGAGGAGTCCAGGAAGAAGATAGCATCTTTGAAAGGTCCCTACCTTTGATCCATAGGCGTCACACAAGCCTGTGTAAAAATCCAATAGGCATTTTGAACAATGCGAGCCGACGGTGCACTCAGGGCACCTCGTGAGGACCGGTATGGCACCGTTTCGACGGCGAATTCCATCTGACCAAAAACGCCCTGCTTCACCGCTACAACCACACCCCCTCGTACAGCCGCTATCAGCAGAGCTTTTGCCGCCTTCATCGCGACTGCATAGCATATCACTCGAGGACATAGAGAATGAAAGGGGCTAGAGTTAGTGACTGACGATAAGACTGAGTCATGAGGCGATGCCCACTTGGGCTAGGATTGTACCCAATGGATTGTGCAACCTGTCTCCCACGACTAAGAACGCAAATCACGGAGAGTAACAACATTAGCAAAGAACATTGTCACTACGACCATGGGCCAACATCAGTGTAGACTGGTAGAGCCCAAGAAGGCTATCAGCCAGCAGCCACCGAGCCTTCGTAATCGTTACTCTTGGCTCCCTCAGAAGGAGTCCTCGAAGAGCTCGGCGGAGTATATTCAACCACCTTCTCCACATACTTCTTCACGACCTACCACCATCACTAACTCGATCAACTAAGACAGACTGCCAAGACACACCTGAGGCACTTTAACCTCCTTCACGACTTCAACGTATTTCTTAACAGGGACGTCCACGTACTTGTCAACATACTCTATCTAAAGGCCAACTCAATATCCTTGCCACCGCGAGCTCTGCAACTCACCTGTGGCACTTCAACGAACTTCTGCACAGTCTTCAGCACAGGCTTACTAACCATTTTCTGCGGGACTGGAATGTCAATTACCT